AAAGTTTCAAGATATGAAACATTTTATAGCTCCATTACTGCAAAGGGAGTGTATGTATTCACTTCTAAATAAGCCCTCATTCCAGTAATTGATGTGCAATGATTCACTATACTTCTAAATAAAGTTACTTTGATAACAGCGGGAAAAAATCATTCCCTCAGGAATTACCCAGGACAACTATGAATGCAGAAGTTCCCAATTGCAACAGGAGATGTCACTTTAAAGGTAAAAGAATCAGGTTAAACTAAAAAGAAGGAAGAGATTACACACAGCTGGCTTTCTTGCATATTTTCACTGCCGAGGTGAAGCAAAGAAACCCCAAGGAGTTTGACTGTCTCACCTCATTTCTTTTCCTCATCACGGATTGAAATAATACATATATAACAACAATCAGACCTTTAGATAACGTAAATTAGCACAGCTCTAGAAAAGTCAACCAAGAATCTAACTCACTATAACTACTTTAAAATTTTGTACAAGATACTTTGTGGTATTTTTGGGTTTAGGACTTAGTACTTGATTTTAAAACCTAAAGCATACCATAAAAATTACATTACGGTCCCAAAGCTATTTAGCACCCAACAAATAAAATGATGAAGTAAAATGTCATCAGCTTTTTACTTTCACAAACTAAGTCTTGTTAGTGACTGTTTGGAAACTATTTTTTTAACTCACTCTTTTGTAGCAGTATTTTCCATGAGCTGTTCTCACATTCTTTTGCTTTCATATCCCTTTGAAATACTCTCAAATTTCTGAACTTTCATCTGCACCAAAAAGTGCTGTGTTCAATTGGTCCTTTCAACTAATGTCATAGCTATGACATTAGTATGTGAATGTATATGAAAGGAAAATAAACTTTACGCTTTTTAGTCCTGAGACTAATACAGTTTTAATGAAGTCATAGTCTCATAATAGAGAAGTAACTTGACTAAAAATAGCTACAGCTCAAATTTTCAGTTTGAAAATGCCACAACAAAAATGAAAGTTTGCACTAATATTGGAAAACAGATTTTTGTATGAAACTCTGACCACCTGACCAACCAGCTAGGGAAGATGAGTTACTTCTCACAGTTTTTCACATCTTCCTTTTCATCTAACATACACTATGCTGAGGTACTAACTGAAAAACCTAAATTGTGAAACTATTTTCATCATATATTACAACACATCCAACTCTTGCAAACACAGTCTAAACCTGTTTGCTTTTATCTGGCAATAGTCCGTTTAAATCTACTTCTTTTATCGCTATATATGAGTTATATTAATTCTTGATAGAGGCTAAGTTATATTCGATAGTGTTTTTCATCATTATCTGTCCTTGATGTCAAAAAGCAGGTTACAGACTGATAATGTGTCTGTTAGAGCCTCATATATTTCTTAGAAATTTTAAAGTACACAAGTTGAACATTTTCAAACTTTCTTCTGCATCACAGCATCACAGAATAATTCAGGTTGGAAGGGGCCTCTGGAGGTCCTTGGATCCAGCCTCTCATCAGAGCACTTACAACTGAGATCCAAACACTTAGAAGGACGGAGATTCCACAGCCTTTCTGGGCACATGTTCCGGCATTTGACCATGCATATGGTGTCATTTTTTTTCCTAATATGTAATATAAATTTCCCATGTTCTTATTAGAGCCAGTTACTTTTTTGTCCCATCTCTGTGCTCCTTTAAGAATAGTCTGACTCTATACGTTCTCTCTGTTTTTATTGGGTTCTTGTAGATAGAAATAGGGCCTCTTATCCTCTCTCTGTATGACCCGTGCTCTTTGTGGTCTTTCCCTAGACTCCACTATGTCATTGCCTCGCTTGTACTGGGTTTATTCCATCCCAGATGCAGCTCTTTGCACATGCCTTGGATTGAACCTTGTGAGTTTCCCATCAGGCCATTTCTTCAGCCTGTTGCTGTCCAAAACAGCAGCCCTCTGCTCCAATGCGTCAACTATCCCTCCCCAGTTTGATTTTCTGTCTGAAAATCCATTGCTTGTGCAGTCTGTCCCATTGTCAAGGTCATCAATAACGCTGCTGAACAGTATTGGTGCTGATATCAGTCCCTGAGGGATGCCACTGGTAATGTGCTGTGAGCTGAGGTTTGTATGTTGGTCCCCCATGGACTTTGGTCCCACTGTTTTTCCACTCACATTTGTAGACTTATCTGTATGTCATTAACAGAGATTGTACAAAGGACCTTGCTCAAAACAAGGTATGTAGCATCCTGTGTTCTTCCACTGTCCACAGCACAGCTGGATATGCATGATATGTTTCTAAAACAATAGCTGTAGTTTTTCAACCCTTGAAAGAGTCAGGAACATAAAGTTGTACATTCAATAGAATATACTATCAATTTTACATATCATCTTCTAAACGTACTTTGTCCAATGCTATAAGAAATTAATGTTGCATACACTACAAATAATAGCTTGCTACAAAAACTTCCAAAAACTTCTAAAAAATTCCTTCAAGTGGTCAGTCTTTTGTGCTTCACAACCGTGTGAACTGGTTGTGAAGCTGTGTAGAACATCAAATCTCAACACTATAGGAAACCCCAAGACCAAACCATTTAATATGTTTACGCAAAGGGCTGGTGTGTATTAAATGCATATGTGGTGAGGGCAGTACATTCCACATGCTGTCTGAAGTTATCCTATTTCATAGCAGCGGGAGCTCGTTTTCATACTTTGGAAATCACCAGACACTTCGCCACTGACATCAGTGTGAGATAAGTCACTGCTTATTCCTGTCCCTTCTTTATTTCTTTATTGCCAGCAATTCAGTGTATACTTTTTCATATATGAAGTATCCACAGACAAGGTTTTACAACTGAGGACATACAACTCTGTATGACTGTGGTTATATGGCAAAGAGACACTTCTATACCTTTAAAATATGTTATTGTAAGAGAGTCAGCATTGTATTCTTAATGCCAGATTCTGAGCTGCTGTTTACAAGTTATGCCGCATGGGTTTCAGGAGATAACAGCAGTATGCACACCCTGAAAAAAATTCCCTGTGTTTAATTCTAAAGTTGATAGACTAATTTCTAGCTGGTCAGAATCTCTGAGTGCCTGTTCACCCACGAGATGGCAGGATGACTCTGTTCTACAAGAAGTTAGAGCAAATCTGCACTCTGGAGTCCCTTGAGGTGCCAAAACCAGGGAAGCATAGGTCAGAAATTAAAGAATATTAAATCTCTATGTGAACAGTATAGTTCAGCAACAAAATTACCTCAGTTCTCTTTATTTTAAGCTTAAAACATCCAAACTGAATCATCTTTAAGCTTTGAATGTCTATTCCTATGTTATTATTTTTATGGTTATTTATTTTATGTTGAAGGCAGAGACTTTTTTTGCACAGGGCAGACTGTCATTCTGTTATTCCACAAGGGCAGACTGCTTAGTGTAAAATAGCCAATTTTAATTAAAAACATTAATTTTTTTTTAAAATTTAGATTCTTTGTAAGTTGCATTTCACAAAATCACAGAATGAGGATGGAAGGGGCCTCTGGAGGTTATCTAGCCAACCCCCCTCACTCAAGATTGCGCTGTGTCCAGGCAGTTTTTGAGTGTCTCCAAGGCTGGAGACTCCACAACTTCCCTGGGCAAGCTTTGCCAGTGCTGGGTCACCCTCACCACCCTCATCATAAAAAAACCTGTTTTCTGATGTTCAGCAGGAACCTCCTGTTTTCAAATTTGTGCCCATTGCCCCTGGTCCTGTCACTGGGCATCACTGAGAAGAGCCTGACTCCCTCTTCTTCATAGCCTCCCTTCAGATGAAAGACTTCTCTTCTCCAGGCTGAAGAGTCCCAGCTCTCTCCACTTTTCTTCATAGGAGAAATGCTCCAATCCCTTCACCAACTTCATGGCCCTTTTTTGTACTCTCTTTTTTGTATGTCCGTGTCTCTCTTCTACTGAGGAGCCAAGGACAGAACACAAGACTACAGATGTGGCCTCAGCACTGCTGAAATTGTAATGATGCTGTAAAAGTATTCCACAGTTCTTTTCATGCTTTCTCTCTGACACTACAGATGGGATAACATCTGTAGAAAGACATCCATTTTAATGCATAGCTCAGATTTCTTTACTAACCATCAAGGCATACCAAAAAATATGTGACAATTGCAGCATTTTTTAGTCACTATTATGGTCACATACTCACCCCTTGGTTCTGTACATGTTCTTTGCCACTCCCTGTATTTGCCCCTTTTCTTTCTGTCAAGGCCATGCTGTTCACTGCTGGCATACCACATTAAGAGTTGTCAGGGTTTGCTTGATTACTTTCCTCTTTTTTTTTCTTGGTAGACCACGAAACTTGATACAAAAGTAGTGTCAGTACAAGAGCCATTTATCAAGTTTGTTTTTCACCACCATAACTATGTCTGGCTAACAGAAGCCAGTGAGACAGCAGTATGTTTCAGAGTAGTTTGATTCATTTCTGACCCCATGCACTTCCTCATTGTACCTTCTCCTGATCCCTTTCTAACTTCAAAATTGATCCTAGACTTCTTGTTTCCAAGATACTCACTTTTCATCTTTTCTTGTTCATCAGATACCCAGGACTCAGACTGTATTAAAAACTGATCCTGTAATAATCTTGGAGTGAATGTTCAGTCTTACTTAGAAGCTTATGTGAAAAATCTTTATAATGTATAGCAACAGGCTTTCCTGCTTTTACACATGCCTTAGTATTCTTTCTGTGGGAAGAAATGGTACTGTAGGAATAAACCAAGTCTCCTACACCGGCATGAATCCTTTTTGTGCAGCTTTCACAGAGACAGTAAGGTTTGTCCAGAGGGGATCTTTAGGAACAGGACCCCACACTGCACACAATCTAACGAGGCAATAACAAAATGCAACATTAGATGCTTTATACTTGTGGTGAAGTGACAATGACACTTCTGTTCAATGACAGAACAGTTGAAAATATAACTCATCAGTGAAAAACTTTAATTTGCCATAGATCTTTTATTATAATGTTGAAAAATATCTGTACATTTATTGCATGCACATTTTTTCTACTCCAAATAGCTATCCATAAGTCTGAAGATCCACATTCAGTAAAAAGTTACAGTAAAAGGAAAGAACTTGCCTATTCTGTAATCCTGGACTTGGTAACAATAGGTGTTCTGCATCAAATTTTCACTTTTTAAGTTTGTTCTGTAGCAAATCTGAAGCTGAAAACAAAGCTTTCTTTGACAGTAAGAAATTTCCTGGTTTTAAAAAGCTAAAAAGATTAAAGTTTGCAGGGATATCTTTACTAGAACACATTTTGTTCATACACCCATGAAGTAGAAGGAGATTTGGCTCTGATCTTTGAATCTGAGGGTATTCCCTATCAGAAGAAAGTATAACTAGGCATGAGTTCAAAGCAGGGGGGGGGGGGAAAGTGGATATTTCTTGTTATTAAAAATACAGTCTATTTTCTCAGTACCTTGAAGGAATGCTATCAGTGTCCAAAACACCACCCTAAATTTTAAAATGTTATTTCCGTATGGAGATCATAGAATCACAGAGTCACAGAATATGCTGAATTGGAAGGGACCCACAAGCATCATCGAATTCAAATCCTGACCCTGCACAGGACCATCCCCAAGAGTCACATCGTGTTCCCAAGAGTAATAATAGCAGTAACAGCATGGTCTACTGTATTTGAAAGATTTTAAATTTCCTCTTTGCATGAAATAGATTTTAATATATATATAAAATATAAAAAATTGCATATAAATATATATCAGTGTATTTATTTCCCTTAACACTGCATTTTTTTAATGCTGTATTCACATCAGTCTCAAAAGAGCCTTTAGTGAGGCATCCATACTAAGGAAAACTAAAATTTCATGGTTTGAGTATCACTATTGAATCAAAAAGAAATGTGGCAAAAAAAAGGTAACAAAAGCATAACATTATACTTTCTAGTGGCATAATACACATTATACTTTCTAGTCAAATAATACAGAAAGCATTTAGGTTTGATCAACTGCATTAGAAAGGTGAAGTAAACCTGGAAGGCATTCACCTATTCACAATAATAACTTTCTGTTATATGTACAACTATATATAGAAAGAATATAGGTACATTTAGCTTCATGCAAAATACTCCACATGATCTAGAATTAATTTTTCACAGAACTCTCATACCTATAAAAACTTGTCTCAGTTCCCTAGACCTCTTCTATTGATTTACCTTCTCATTATTCAGTTGAAGGACTGAAAAAAGCTCAAAAAAAGTTCAAAAAACACGGCTAGACTTCCAGATTGTAAAATCATGTACCTTCTGAAAGGAAAAAAAGTTGCAGGCATGTAGCCCATCCTGAGAGTCCAGCAGTATTTCTACAGACTGTTCACCCAGTGTTAGCTGAGTGTGAGGATTTGAGTGTCAGTGGCATATGGTACCTCACCTGTTTCCAGAACTTAGAATTGGGTGACTGTGGGTGTGCAGTGTGCTGCTCTTTCCATTTGATGGTACCTTGCTGCTTAATAAGAAACCTAAGAGATTCCTGAAGTTTCCCATAAGTCTCAATTCTCTCCATTTCCAGAAGGATCACCTTTGTGTCATTTTGAATGAGGGCATTGTATAAAGCAATGTGTTGATCATAAGTAGGTTCTTTACAATTAATCAGCTGGTGTGTTAGAAGGATGATCAGCCGTCTGCTCCTCTGCATCCTCTTCTCAATTGCACTGGCTGTATCTAGCAATGTACAAGAAAGTTATGAGACCCTGATATTTCTTTTAGAACCCTTTTGTGTTTGGGCACTTCATTTTCATTGCTTTTTAACCAAAAATGACTTCCATCTCACTTCAGTCTGGTACAGTTTGTTTATTAGAAGAAGGCCTTGCCCCCCCCAAAAAAAAAACCTCCAACAACCAACCAAAGGGGGAAGCAGGGGGAAGAGAAAAGCAAAACAAGCAAAAAACCCCAAAACACAAAACTTTCCTTTCAAATGTTTTCTTTGGTTGTAACATTAATATTTTCACTGCTCTTAAGAAGTTTTAGGAATTATAGTCTAATGACCTAGAGTCAAGTTCTGTAGATTTGGATTACATCAAATTTCTGCTTGGTAAACAGTATCCATGTAAGGAATCATGTTCTATCAAGTTCAGTGCTTTAGAGACTGATCTTGCAATACTTACCCATGAAAACTAGTAATTTGGAGACTTTGGGGTGACTTGCTTCTAAGAGGCTTCTTTACAGGCAGGGAGAGTGTTAATTCTCCTGAGTTATAGCATGCTAAATTATACACTAATCTCTGTGTCGGGTTGGTGTTCACCTTGCAGGGGTGGATCCAGACTTGCAGGGCATTCGTATGACAGCACAACTGAGGGTGTTTAGATTTCCCACTACCATGTTAGACAGACCTGATCAATGGAACTGTGACTATGATGTCGGACGTGTTGAACCTAGGAAACTCAAGAGCCAGCATGCTATGGGAGAAAATTCTGGATCAGCTTGGAAAGCTCCACATCAAACCTCCAGGAGCTGCTTTTTCTCAATGACCTGCTGGGATGTCTATGGGAGGAAGACTGCAAATGAATGCTTGTGCAGTGAAACTCTAATCTCAGTTATAAGAGATTTCTGTGGTCCGTAGAATGAAAGCTGGAGTTGTTTTGGTGGGAGCATATGATGCTGGGCCAAAAGAAAGGAAGTGGGAGCCCAGATGAAGAAATTCAATGTAACGATTATTTAAGAAGCCAACTGATAAGCAGACATCACCAGCCAGCTCCATACACATCCTCTTTTCCTTTGCTGGGGGCTGCCAGCCCGCTGCAAGGATCTTCTCAGTCTCAGAGAGGCCCAGCTTTTTCAGCTCCTTACTTTTTCAGGAAGAAAACTCTTTCAATGACTTCTCCATTCTCTTTCTTGGCTCTGGGACCATTTTGTGAAAAAAATTTGCCTTTCTATGATGTTCACCAATTCAGACTCTTTTCATTTTCTTCTTTTTCATTAAGTCTTCCTGTTGTTAGGAGAATAGATACCTTGGAAGGTGAGAAAAATGAAGCTAAGGAGTTACTGTCATAGGTTTAGTTCCCATAATAACAACAATTAAAAAAAAACAAAACCTTTCTCAGTTTTGAGGTGCAGTCCATTGTGCTCAGAACTGAAAGACCATGGACCTGAGGAGATATTCATTTCTCCATTTGGATTTCTGATGTTATACTTGTGGCAAGAGGAAAGACGGGGCTGCATGACGCAAATACTTTAACCGAAGGATTCATTGCAGCCTGTTCTATGAATTTTAGAAGTTTATGTGAGTTCAGAATCTGACAGAAAATACTGTGAGAGAAAAATACATCACAACTGTTACAGAAAAAAAATCAAGCATCTGAAGTCCAGCTAGGAGAGTATGTTAGCAGAAGTATAACATAAGCTTATCTGGTTCTCAAAGCCTTTTCCAGTCCTTTGCCCATGGCCACAGCTGAAGATAGAACACTTGGCTACAGAGAACATTGCTCCAGTGAAGTACAGTCATTCCTCTGATATTTGATCATGGTTTCTTGTATATTACACATACAGTGGCTCCAGCAGCTCTTTGCTAGATTCTGCAGCAAAGGATGCAATTGGCAGGAAAATGAGATCATGAGAATAATGGAGTAGAGGTAATGTTGGTGAAAACTCCTGGTTTGTTGGCTAGTATTTGCATTTGCAACTCTTCAGGTCACTGCTAGGTTGTAGAAAATGCCATTAATTGGTAAGACCAGGAAACAAAAAGAATGCTAGTTTAAGGAAGCATAATAGGAGTCCAACAGCTATGCAGTGCTGTTTATCACTTGAATCATTCTGTATAACTTTCCCTTTTACTGGAAGAACACAAGTTTCAAGTAACAAAGCTTTGCTCTGAAACCAAGAATCATAAGCATTTCTTGGAAAACTAATTCCGTTTTATATACTCACTGCAATTTTTTTTTTTTTCCTAGAAATACATGGAGTTTTACAATGAAAACTATGAAAAACTATGATGCGTGTTCAGGAAGGATCACAATAACTCAAAGAGGCATTTCCTGTTTATCTTTGCTTAGAATGTTTTAATTGTAAGGTTTTGGATTTGGAAACCAGATAATGAAAGGCTCAAGATCAAAAGATAAACAAGAGTGGGGAGCATATGTGTAAAGTCCATCTTCCTGGAAGCAGAGAACTTTTAAGTGCTCTCAGTGGCAGGTAGATTAGAAACAGCTTTTCCACTCAAGTGAAAACATTTTTTGGGCATCAAAGTGGGTAAGAAAGAGAAAAGGCAAAGGCTGGAAAAGTAGGCAAGAAGAGAAAAAGAAGAACAATGGTCAACACTTGTGGCATTTTTAGATTTTTGATTAAATCAGACCAAACGAGTCAAACAAAAGTTACTCACTGTCCCAGGCTGGCTTGGTGAGTCTTCTGTCTGTCACTTCTGGGTTACAGGCTTCCATTCATGCCTTCACTAAGTGAAAATGTGTTTGTTTTCATCCAACTTCTTAGAGCCCTTGTAAGTTCCACAGTTTTAACCTCAGTTGTATGCCATGCTCAGTTTTCTTCATGATTTCCATCCATAAACCACAGTTTTAGAGTAGTATCTCAGAAGATAATATTAAACTCTTCCCAATCTCCTGAAGAGGTGGTGTAAGTTTTTGTCATTGACAGTTTTGTGAGCTACTTTTGTAGCTACTCTTGAACTACTCCCAGATCCTTGTGCTGGATCTGGGAACGATCTGGCTCAGCAACTTTTGCAGCTTTTTTTTACATTTGTGTTGCAGAGTTTTTTCTCAAGGCCAGGCAGCCCTTTCACAACTCTCCAGCAGAGAAGAACATCAAAGATCCCAGTCTCAGCTCAGGACAGATGAATGACACCTGGCCCACTGCAGATGACTTCAGAAATGTGTAACAGAAAATATGCCAAAATAGGCTTCGTGCCTGCTTACTGAAAAGGAGAGAAGATCTGCTCCACAGAATAACCAGAGCACAAGATAAACAGACAAATCAGCTCTGGAGGAGAGCAGATAGCAACTAGGTGACAGCAGTCATACAAGATAGTGTAAAGGTGTCCATATGGAAATTAGCACAGTTTAATTAACATGATTTCATCCTGTAAGACAAGGAAGTGGAAATAAAGCATACCAACTCTCTTCTAAGTCAATGCTGGGAATTGTGTGAACAGAAAGTAGGTCATGTTAGTGAACAGAAGCTGAACTTCCTGTGACTCTAACGCCCTCATAACAGGTTGAAAACCCCTGAGTGATAACAGCAAAGGTACTTCCTCAACTCAGTTTGTGGTTTTCTCATCTTCCTTGAATTGAGACAGCCAATCCTACTCTCAAGTGGTTTCGTTGTAGCTTTGCCCAGACAATGGCTGTGCAGTTACACTATCCAAAGAGCAGGTGTATGTTTGAAAGAGTCACAGTTGGGGTCACATTCCCTGCATATTTCAAGATGATAAACAATTTGTGCCCCTTCCCTGTAGCTTGCTTTTCTTAGCACCCTGGTAAGCACGGGGTGCCTTTGTGTCACCCTGCCTGAAAGAGCAAACACACAGCTGCTGAAGAGATGAACATCAAGCTCAGGAATTTAAAGTGACCTCCCTAAAAGACCTAAAAGAGACTAGAACCACAGTTCGCTCATGCTTGACAAGTTATTTTGTGCATTATCAGACCTGAAACTTACCTTCTCCAGGATATATATCTCTCCCATAAATACACAATTTATATCCACATTTATTTTCTAGAATATCTGGCATGATTTGATAAACAAAGTATTCCACAAAATTAGCTTCATTGGTGTGGTTTTTGGGGTAGATAACGTATGCATCATATATCTTCCCATCTGTAAGGCAAAACAAGAGGAAACTGTATTGTGTTGGCATGAATTAGAGGTGTCTATTGCAAAAACTAGGAGAGAAATAAAAATATCAGTCTTTGAAATAGATCTAAGAGGAAGCTCCTGCCTATCTGAATAATGGTGCATGTTTGGAAATTAGAGACTGTGCACATTTGTTTTCTATGCTCAGTTGTTATGTCCTGTGTGTTTGTACCTTTGGAGAACCTGAACTTTGTATTGTGAAGGATGAATCCAGGGTATATAGAGTAAGATTTCAATTGAGCAACGCATATTAGCACGAAATAGAGATGAAGCTCAGCATTTGTTATTTCAGTGATACAATGGGCTGTTAATAGACTTTGTCTCTCAGGACTTAAATTCTTCCATCTTGAAGATATTACTCATCATTACCACAAGATATCATACTTCTGAGTGAAAAGCTCCATTCAGAAGTCTTATAGTCAGAATCAAGTACAAAGTTAAATATTTATTTAGCTCTTGTTTATTTATTTATTTAAATATTTATTTTTCTCAAATACATTTTCTATTACAGCATTTTTTTTCTATTCCCAAATGTTTAATTTCTTTCTTTTCAGTGGAGATCCTTTCTTTTGTTCCTGTCTGAGGTTCTTGCTCAAACTGTCCTAACAATAGATCCTATGAGGAGCAGCTGAGGGAGTTGAGGTGGCTTAGCCTGGAGAGGAGGAGGCTGAGGGGTGATCTTATATCGCTCTCTACAGCTACCTGAAAGGAGGTTTTAGCCAGGTGGGGGTCAGTCTCTTCTCCCAGGCAACCGGCAATAGGACAAGAGGACAAAGTCTTAAGCTATACCATGGGAGGTTTAGGTTGCATATTAGGAAGAATTTCTTCACAGAAAAGGTAATTAGATACTGGAATGGACTGCCCAGGGTGTTGGTGGAGTCACTGTCCCTGGAAGTATTTAGATCACAGGTGCAAGATCCCAGTGCCTGGTTAGCTCTGTTGATTTTATTGGTAAGGAACTGGATTTGGTCTCTTAAAACATGTACGACATCATGTCATTAAGCCCTGCCTGCCCTTCAGCTGCCACTGCAGAGGGCTTCAAGTCTTGTTTAAGTCCTAAGGTAGCTCCAATGGACTATCTGCTTACAGCTAGACACCTGAACACAGCACAGGTCTCCAGTGTTCTTGTCCATGATGAAAACTTGCGTGTGTGCACCTTCATTGCATGCAACTAAATTTAGATGTCTTGATCTTGAGCTGAAGTCCACCTATAATACTGGATGGGATGTATTCCTCCCAAAATTGTCTTACACAATATTCTTATCTTTCTTTTTGGCTTATAAAATTTGTGTTGCTCTAACACATGTCTTTAACACATTAGCCAGCAGGTTTGTTCCTCTGCTTTAGAGAACACATAACGAGTACAGTTAATAGTACCATAAATTAGATTTTCAAAGTCATTCAATGTTTTCTGGCAAATACTTTAATTTTAAAAAACTATGAAACCAGGATTGAATCGCTCTTTTACGTAATATATCACTACAAAACCCAGGAAACAAGGGAATGTAAAGCGTTTCCAGAGCTATGTATGATTTCTGTTAACTAAAGGCTTAAGAAAGCAAAGGATCAGTCTAAGGTGTCATATGAGTTAGCAATCAAATATCAAATAAATTAATTTCCGTATGATTTCTCATTTCCTTTTTTTAAACTTTGTTTCTCGAATCTTACTCACCGTCCTTGACAGAGTAGGGCTGAAATATCTCCCGATACAATAGGACGATATCAGCTCGGAAGGACTGATAAAGTATAACCGAGACTGCTATTGCAACTAGCAGAACTAGAGATCCTGTGATCAAGAGGACATTACAAAGAACCACTGCAAAGTAGAGGGATATATTGTTAGCCATAGAGACGTTAACCTGTGTGCTGAAAGTTTAGCCTTCTGTTATAGCTTTAAGGAGCTCAAAACAGAGATAACAAAGCTTTTTCCTTCCCCAATTTGTGTAGCCAACACAGAGACCCCTAAACTAGAAGCATATTAAGAGTAGATAATTAACATTTACTTTGTTGAATCCAGACCTACTTATACTAAATATCACAGATGACAATGACGTTTAAGTATTTTGTAACTTTGTAAAAGTGTTAATAACACAACCAGAAACAATGTTCAAACATTTTTTAAGACATCTAAGCCTATACATGAAAACCATTAAGTGTCCACAAAAGGACAAGGCTTCTGGCATGATTGCACAAACAGGGTACAAGGAAGCATGATGTGCCTGTTATGAAATCTTCGATGTAAGAACTAAGTACAACAAACAAGCAGGAAAACAGAACATATCTTGCTCGTAAAAATAAAATAAACTGTGCTAAAGTCAGATGATGTTCTCTCCTACCTTTTCCTTTAAAGAGGGTCAAGGAGCATAAAATAGCAATGATGAGTAAGAAAAAATGGGAAAGAAAGTAGCCACCCACTTTAGTTCCAGCTTCCCTCATGGAAGAGCTCTTGAATTTCACCACCTTCATCTTAGAGATGAAGACTTATCAAGGATAGATTCAGACTAACTAGATATAAGGAAGAAATTTTTTACACTTAGGGTGGTAAAACACTGGAACACATTGCCCAGAGAAACTGTGGAAGGTGTCCTTCCAATGGCTGAGGTGTTAGGCCTAGATAACCTTTAAAAGTCCATTCCAACCCAAACCATTCTATAAATTTATGATTCTATAAAGAGGGCAATCACCAACCCTGTGCTAGTCTAGGACATGATTGTGATTAACACTCTTCTAGAAGAGAGCTGCATTTCTAGCATAACCCAGTTAGACACATTTTTGCAACAGTCCATTTTTCCTCATGTTCTGTGATTCATGGAGCAGAAGTCAATCTAGATATGTGCATCCTCTAGATAACATCTAGTTCTGCTATAGCAGGAGACAAGGTGAGGTAGAAGCAAGGTCATTTCATGCTCACTTCAAACTAGAAAGACAGAATCTTAATCTACAGACTGTTACAATCACAAAGCTGAAGAAGATACTCTTGACCTATGTCCTGGATGTACAGAATTCACCAGGATTCAGTATTGAAAAAACTATCAATTCCAGATGGCCAAGATTGAAATTAAAATATCAAAAGCTTTCTACAGCAATTACACAAAAAGGATTCATTATTCCATTGCAGGGAAGATTAATGGCTATTGTTTCATAGTAGAAATCTGTTCCTAAGCCAATGAAAAAGATACCAAAGTCTTCTCCACTTGGTTGTAATATGTAGACTCAGCAGTCTGAGCAGACTCAGAGCAGTACATTTTTTCTCTCACAACTAAATCCATTAAGAGATTTCCATTCACAGTGCACTGTCTTTACATAATTATTTGTGCCTAATAGGACAACTCACCATCCTATAGTTGTAATGATATAACTGCTCTGGGGACTGTCTGTGATTCAGATCACTGAAATTACAGTGTATTGAGTTGTACTTATAGTACAACAAATATTAGTGCCAGAGAAATTCTGCTGAAAAGGTATAGAAATGAAGAATTTAGAAGTACATTTTCCTTTTTCTCTGGTAGGATGTGAGGTAAATCTATCACTATTTTCACACTCTTTACATTTTTTTTTTGCCATTTAAAGGGAGAAGGAAACATCAGGCTTGTGATGAAGCTTACCTCACCAGAACTAGATTTGAGGAAAACACCTTCTGATAAGATTGAAGTGAGTAAGAAAACAGTTCCTTTTATGGTGAAGTCTGACCGTTTTGTATTTTTCACAGTGCCACATGATACCTATGAAGGAATCTTGTCTTTGTCCACACCTTCAAATTTTATTATTTGATCCATTTTCCTGGTCAATTACACACTCACTCACAAAATGAGGAAACTCCTGACACTGCCTGGTGAGGACGACCCAAGCAGCAGAACTTGACACTGTTTCTTATTGATTCATTTGTTGACAGTGCCTATCACAACATTACTGTTGTAATGCATGTCTCTATAAGCATCTATAGAAGAAACAGGTTCCAACAACTTCTGCAATTATGAACCTAAAAAACTGTTTATGTTTGGTTTTGTACTGATTAGACCAAGGCTGGAAAAGAAGTGATAAATTTCCTGTGCTTATGCAACTTGTAAAGCATCAGACAAGAATTCCACAGAGGTCTTCCTGGAAGAGGAAGTTCAATTCCCAGCAGGACTCTCATTTCTCTGGAATAAATCAGCTCTCTTCAGGACAATGGGAGCAAGTGCCACAAGTCCCTGAACAAAGTTGAATAGATCCTGTTGTTCCATTTGACTTTGCTGCATCATTTAGTGGCAGACAGTTCATGAACAGGCTGTCTTCTATTTATTTATATTCAAGAGCAATGGGAATACAGAACTATCAGCTCACAAGAAACAATATTGGAGAGGCCAGAGAAAACAAGCCAGAAAACAACTTTTGAAGGATTTCCTGATGAACTCCAGAGCAGTTTTTTCTAACTTCTCTGACTTCTAAAATGGATGCACTTCCAGACAGTAAAGGCAGAGATCTGAGTCTGGAATTCCTGTCCACATCAGTCCACCAAATATGAGTCAAAAGGTTAGGTTCAGCATTAAGTATCTTTGAGGAAAAACAGAGCTGATGCTTTGGGCTGACCTTTATCTCTGCTTTGAATGACTGGAATTTATAGTGTTTTCCAGAGAAGAGGGTTCATGCTAGAATGATTTGTGGTTCTCTGGGCATTTTATACTTCCTCCTGAATAAGAACCGAGGAATGCTCAGGGAGAAATAAGATGACGCTCGTAGGTCAGACACATGAAAAGCCACCTCCAGTTATTTAACAAGCCCTGAATCAAGATAATGAACTAAAAAGCAGTGACAGCTTATATATTAATAAAGAGGGAAGGAGTTGAAAGGTATTCAGAAAGTCCATATGTTCCCTAGCAGACAGGTTAAAAGAGATGCTGAAGGGATGTTCCTGTCCTTGCTGGTAGAAGGAGATAACACATTCACTGTTTCTGCAATTACTTGTCATTGCCTCTGTCTCAGGAGCTAACAGCTTCCCTCCCTCCACCAGCAGAGATACTTTTGTGAGCATTCATCCATTGCAGTTATCAATGACCTGAACTGACGTGAACAGTGTAGATGATTAATTTCCTCGTTCTTGAGCAGTGGCATCTTTCAGCGTAAGAGATACCAAGCACCTGCAGAGGGCAACTGAGAGTAGTCTGGCAGGTAGAGTTGCTGTCTCTTGCCAGGTGTGCAGCAAGACTAGATTTGTCTTTGCCATGAAATGTGGAAGAAAAGGGAATTAAAAGTTGTCACAAATTTATTAGCCTTAGTGACCAGAGGCACACTACTGCAGTGACACAGACAATTTCAGAGCATATGAGAAGACGTCTCATGGCAGAAAGAGAATGTAAAATCTGGGATGCTCACCATCTGTGGCATTAAAAAGGGAGATACAGCACTGAAAGATCTGTAGGAAATGGGATGTGAAGAGGTATTATGACTCATGAAGTGTTGGTGGGGGAGTCAGAAGATACCAAACAGCTTCAGCCAAAGAAGGGACAGAAAGGATGGGAAATAGTGTGGAAGATGGGTTCCATATTGACTACGGGTGATCAAAGTCTAGGCAAGGGTTGAATAAGAACAAAATTGAGAAATCTTCCACAGCAGAAGGAGAAGCAACCTCTAAATGTAGCAGCAGCAACAGCAGCTGAAAGATGCAGGGACATGAGCACCTCCTAATGGAGGCAAGAACACAGCTGCAGAGACTGTCAAATGTCAGCATTTTTATTATCTTCAGAGGGAAGCTGTCATTGTTCTAGCATAAATATTGCTCAGCTGTGTGAGAAGTGAGTGAAGAAAACTAAAGCAGAGCACAGCTACTTCTGGACACATCATTGCTTACACCAACAGTGCTGAGGAGCAGAAGCAGACAGCTTGTCAATAGCAGCAACAAGGAGAAAGGAACAGGTATCCACACAAAAAGGGCAGCAGCAAAAGGGGGATCACAGTCAAGAGCTTTCAAGAACATTTACTGAAGACTTATGGATAAAAAACAAAATAAGATTTGTCTACAACAGAAGTCAGATTAAATGATTCACTGGATGAATACAGAATATGTTACACTCTTTCCTTCAACTAGTCTGTAATACAGGGCCAATAAAGGAGTTGCATTGCTGAACTAGAGTGAGCAGAACCTGTTACTCAGTTTCCTTCCCTTTCATTGCAAGTACACTCCCACGCTCAAATACTGCAGTGCAGAGCTGGTGTGCTTCCAGCTTCCTTGAGTGATGCTACGCTCACACTCACTTATCTAACCAAAACATCTGCCACCTTCCTCTGGAAGGATGTGGTGCTATGCTGCTGTTATAATTCACCTACATGCCTTCTAGCCTTGGCTACGGCAAGGAAAAATGTCTAGTCCTGGAAGCCATGATCCTGTAGAAAGTTATGGGCAGTCAAGAATACTGCAGAACATGGATCTGTGTACACCCTGTGATCACAATGCACTTGATTTTACTCTTCCCACCATTCACTTATCTAAAAATAATGCCTGTTTAAAGCCTTGACATTTATTCTCAAGGTCCTCAACAAAAGAGAGCAGGTTTAGATTAGATATTAGGAAGAATTTCTTTACTCAGAGTGTGGTGAGGCACTGGAACAGGTTGCCCAAAGAAGCTGTGGATGTCCCATCCCTGGTGGAGCTTTGAGCAACCTGGTCTAGTGAAAGATGTCCCTGCCTGTGGCAGGGAGGTTGGAACTAGATGATCTTTAAAAGTCCCTTCCAGCCCAAACCATTCTGTGATTCTTGGTGGTTCAGCATATCTGAAGGGGTAAGAAAGGAAACCATTGACAGCAGCTTCTCCTTGTGCCTTCACAGACAAAATAGCATTTTCTGCCATAGGAATCTAACCTACGAGTGCACCTAACAGTGCTTAGGGATCTGCCTATCCCTGTTAAAAAAAAAAAAATCCCATATGAGCTAGGGATCATTCCCGTCCCCAGCATTTACTGCCTTGGATTTTTCTTCTGTTTCAGGTACTCCTGAAACAAAACCAAGGGAAAGCCTTGGAAGTGCTACTGATGCCTCTGTGTGGCACAGTGAATCTCTCTCAGAGAGAGAAGATAAAGAGACTCCAAAGAAGTTAGTCACACCACTTAACATTCAGTCAAAGAAAAGGCACTACAGTGGATGCAGTATGGGAAAGAAGGCAAATCAACTGGCAAACCAGCAGCTGAAATTCTTATTTTTAGAGTTTGCCTATTTTCTGCCGTGGTTTCACACTAGAAGCAACGGTTTGTCACAGTGGAGAAATAACCTAGAAACAGGATATTCTTATCACAGGGCTGATACAGTCACACTCTGTTCTGTGTATTTCATCTCTTGCTGATACTGTTTGAATAATGCCCCATGCACACAACAGAATTTACCCCAAGGACTTTCAGCCAAAATGAGAATTTTGCCACTGGCTTGAATATGTGGGAAAGAAGCAGGCTGTTTTTCTTACTAGCAGAAACTTTCTTACCAACCAAAACAATAAACTCACCAACATATTTCGAACTGAGTTCAAAGTGTAAAAATCAAAATGAAATATCTTACCCTCAAATTGTGGTTTGAGTTGTAACGTCACTGTGACTCTTGTGTTGTGCATTGCGTTCAATGCTATACATGTGAAATTTGACTGCAGATCCTCTGTTTTTACTTCAGTTATATTCAAAGTGGTCTCTTCATAGTATTCTTGCGCATGTCCTTCAAAACTAACAGAGAGAGAAAGAGCTGGTACCATTGGTTTTAGTGGCTAGGCACAGTTTGCATAGAGGAAAGATTATTCTGTGTTATATGCACTTACAAATGTGTTTCTTCATGAAATCTTGTAAAATCGTAGTGTTTTGCTGGGATGTTATTCACATCCCAGCTGACAGCAGACATTGGCTGTTTCTTAATCCCCAGGAGGGCCTGACATTTCAGAGACAAAGCAGCACCTAATCAAGACACAGAGAGATGTAAACATTCCTTGATGAAAAATGTAATTTTATTTTCCTCATAACATCTTTTTCTACAAATCTTCATATGACTTGTGAGTTTTATCTTAATGATTTTGACATATTTTTCTGAACTACTGCTGACAAAATGATGCATAGAAAAGACTCAAAAAGAATTAGTAAAATGAAATTTAACAAAAGATCTTATAAGACGCCAAGGATTACAAAAGGAATTGTTTATATTTATTATGATAAAGGCAATGTACATTTTACTTGTGATGTGTAACACATGTAATTGGCTATTGAGAAACATGGAAAGTATATGCTGGTTTACACACAAATGTACATAGACAATAACACATTTAAATTTTAGTATTTATTATTTTGCATAAGTCTTGTGTGCAGAGTGTTATCTTGGATTTTATACAAGCTGGACAAAAGTAAAGTAAACCTGTCCAAGTAAAATTAAAACAGGAAAATATTTATTATATATTTGTCATTAGGAAATATTTGTTCCAAAGTAAACATCACCATTGCACTAAAAGAAGGTATAAATAAAACATGTTAAATTGTTTCCATGTAAATCTGCATCTAAGCAGGACTTAGATAAAATTATCAAATCTTATGATTAAATCATGAATTGGTATTTGAAAGCATGGAGAAATACCTTCATTTTTGCAAACAAGGGACAATAGTACCAGTACAACAAGTGGGTTTTATATGTAAAGTGAATTTGCTACATGTAAGCAGTGCCAGATTACTTATTGTCCCAGATGGGTAGACAGAGCCCACAGTGCACTATACCCTGACCATCTTACTAGAGAAAGCTTTTCCTGGAGAACAGATCTAATTCACACCTAATAATGTGAAGAGACAACGGGGGGAAAGAGAAAAAAATAATGGTAATGCAAGTCAACATGGTAAGTTTATGAGCCACAGCATGTGGCACCTCAAAGAGGGCTGTGGGCCCCTGCAGTACTTGCTACCAGAGCAGTGTTGCTGTAGGACAGAAACAGTGGAGTGATCCCTTCTCCCACTGGCCTAGCTTCACCCCACTTGCCCTGGGAGACAGGCATCCTGGATTGCCTATTTACGTTTCAGATGGGTTCGGTCACTTGCGGGCGAGGTCCACTTTTCTGCACTGACTATACAAAAATCCCAGACAACTCTCACTCCTACCAGAAACACCTTGCTCTGATGGTTCAAGTTACCCAAGATAATTCTGAATCACTGAGAACATCTACAGCCTAAACAAAATGGAGGGAGGGAGCAAGCTCTACCTCGTGGGTTTCCAACCAGCTATTTCTAAGTTCACTCCTTGGTCCTGTCTTTCACCCCTCCCAGTATCTTCCTGATAGATCAGACTGGTCTGATCCATGCTAGCCAACACGGACATGAGAGAGGCAGTGTTCCTCAGCCTCAGGGCCAGCGACCAGCCCCTTCCTCTCCTTCACTCCTCAACAGAGACAGAGGGGACTGAAACAGAGAGACGTGGGGACTGAAAGTAACATGGAGTAGGTCTAATTGCAAGAACAGTCCATCTTTCCCTTTTAAGGGGTACTATCAACCAGTTTCAAGGGATTTAGCTAAAGTCCTCTTTGAAGTGGATGGAAGCTGTCACCCCTTCAGCTGAGAAGTAATGATTCACTGTGTGACTAATCCTAGTCTATCCCAATGAGAGTAGAAGAGGTTATTTAAATCCCCTTAAACTACACTTCATACCTAAAAAACCCATCAGTTATCTCTAACTTCACACAACTGTGCTAGCAGTGAATTAAATCTCGTAAACATTGTGATGCAAAACTGTAATGAAAAATAAAAATCTTCTGGAAGATCCCCATATTTGCTAGGCCATAACAAAATGTTAATTTAAAAACAATTTGAAGTTTGTACTCACCAAGCTCCACTTCTATTACTTTTTTATTCTTTGGAAATAAGATTTGAGGAGGTAGAGGTGAGTGTTTTGCTTTAGAAATAAAAGAGGAAAAGAAAGCACATCTTAGAAAGTTGTGAAAATGCATTTTGTAAGATAACATCTGTAATCTGTATGGTTAATATTTTATGATCACAAAACAGAATTGCAAACTAACAGTGTTTCACATGCCTGTTGGAAAAATCTGGTTTTAATCCTATAACCAAATATTTCTGGGGAGTATGTAGATGTTAATAGTTCCAGTATTTTCTACTCATTTATTTAATTTTTAAGTTTGTACATAAAGAGCAAGGAAAAAACTTAGTTTCTGAAGTACTGTTTTAGCTGCTGAGTGGGGAAAAAAAATCAAATGTAGTTATAGGCTTTGTTTTCTCAGCTGCTTTTTTTTTTTTCAAGAGATACAGAGATTCCTTCCAACAGTGGAGAAATTACTCATATCCACTATATGAAACAGCTAATATATACTTTTTTGCAGTATCTGGCAGAACTGGTAACCCTCTAGCCCACAGCTGCCTGCCCATGTTCTTCTGTTTCCCCCATCTTCTGAAGACTCTGTGCTGTCTGTGCATCTCTTGTTGCTGCACACAACTGCTTCCCTTTACATCAGTCTACATGACAGTGAGCGTTCCTCATCATAGAATGCTGCAGTCATAAAATCTTAAAGTTATGAAAAGATCAAGTCCAACCATTAACCCAGCACTGCTGCGTTCACCAAGTGAACTCCAAGTGCCACATCTACCTGCCTTTTGAATAGTTCCAGGAATGGTGATTCCATCATTTCCCTGGGCAGCCTATTCCAATGCCTGACTACCCTTTCAGTGAAAAATTTTTCTTATATCCAATCTAAACCTCCCTTAGTACAACTCTATGCCATTTCCTATAATTATCTTCCAGAAGGAATACTATTTTTTCTTTGACATATTTGGTTTTTATTCTCACTAATAATTGCTGTGGACATGTCCAAATTACATCCAGCCATTTGAATTAGGCATTCAGATTTTTCAGAATTTTTTCTCTTTATGCATTTTTCTTCTTTTCTTGCCTTTTATACTGTCTCATATTTCCCACTGCAAATGCATTGCTTGCTATTGTTTTCCTCATTAAACTTTTCCAACTCAAGGCACATCCGTGAAACCCATATAACCTATATACCCTAAAAAAATCTGCAGGACTCATTTATGCCTCTGCTTCCCAGACTACCAGAAAAGCCATCTTTACCCATCCTAACTGTTTCTAATTTTCATTAACTGGATCTGATAAAATAGAAGTGTGGACAGAGCCAGTAGCTCTAGCTAGCTGAATATGCTAAGTTCTTAGCTGCCAGCATTCAGAGGCAGAAGGTCCTCTGGATCAGTATGGATTTGCAAGGCAACAGGAATGTACATAATAATTCAGTATTATTAACAAAACTTAACAGCTCCACTCATCAGCATACTAATTTTAAGGTCTGATAAAACCTCGAAGAAGTTTTCATTAAAGACTTTGAATTTAGCAAAAACTGGAGCAGATATGACAGACCCAGCTCATATTTCACGTTATGTTGCAATCTCTTCTTTCTGCAAAGATTTCAAAAGAAAATCAGATTGACTTCAAAATCTGCCTGAATGTAACACAGGCTTTTATAAATTTGAATGATTTTACGCCAAATAAAACCCAGACATTTTTATTATAACCCAGGCAGAACAATATTCCTGGCCAGTTAAAGAAGTTTTGATGGAAGTACATTCAAACAAAAATTGTTAGGCAGAGAAGTGTCATGAAGACCAACATTGTATTACACAGCATAGGAGGAAAGGCACCAGATTGTCTAAGTTACTGTACTAGGTCTCAGCTCAAATCTGCCTTTTGTCCAGCTCAGAATAATTAGAACAAACTCTGCTACTGAGATGTGGGCACAGCAGCAAAAACTACAAGAAATGCTCCTACACTCCAAATCTGCTGTCTGCCCACAAGCTGGGTGCCTCCCCATAGCAAATGAACATTACTTGTTTTTGAAAAAAAAAAAAAACAACCCTAAACAAAACAACAACAAAAAAACCCTGCACAAGCCAAGCTCAAACCCTCTACCACCCCTCAATAAAAGGTCTTTCTGGCTGTTTTGCTACTGATCTGGTTGCAGAACTGAAAACGCATTTTGAAGTTTTGCAAGTTGATGCAACATGAAAGTGCTGATATCTGTGTGCTATTCCCTGACCACATCCAAATATAAATCCTCCTAGAGAAGACTGCATCCTAGAGGCACCCCAAAGTCCACATGCCTCAGTCATGTTGGCCATGTTCAAAATCACAAAGACACAGTAATTGCTGAGCTCCACTCGTTTTCTGTCTCTATATATATCTTGTTCATTTTGTCTCATCCAAGACAAATCTAAAGATTTTTTCAAACCTACTATCAAATAAATGTTAGATAATCAAGATGGACCAAAAGGCATTGGGTTATAGGTTATCAACACATCGGTGATCTAATGATCACCAGATGATCCTCACTAGCTACAAATTCTACTCCTCTCAAACAAATAGAAAGCAGAGCATTGTGACATCCCTCTAAGGAGATCCTTCATTTCAGAAATAAGTGCTACCAGACAGCTCTATGAACCACAGAACATAATCAGAGTCCTCAGTAAAAAGCTGAATGTGACCAGGCCTCACTTTACCCCATCTTGGTCCATTTGGATTTTCATCCACAAAATTCACCTTAAAAGGCTGATCTGAAGCTTAATTAAGAAGATAAATAAACCAACTGAAAGTCCTTTTCTCTTTAATGTAAAAAAGGAGTTTCCTTTGCTCTAAGTTGACATTAGTCTTTTTTATCTTAGCAAGCTACAAAATGACTGCCTTACCCTCACTTATGAAAATTCTTGTTGCTGATGCATTAAACATATTTCCTTTATGAGTATAAATAAACTGACAAGTATAATAACCATCATCCTCCCTTGTTGGGTTCTCAATATAAATGTATTTTTCTTGCTTGAAGTATCTCTGTCCCTGAAGAGGTTTGCAGTCCTGGAAAAGAAAAATTTATTTGGTTGCAAGTAGCTTTTCACAGTATTCTGATCTACACTGGCACTCTCGGGGGGTTTATTTACCTTATACCACTGGACGATAGTAGCATTCTTATAGTTATCAATGGTAGGACAAACAATTTTTCCTCTTTTAGTGTCATTTGGGTAACGAATCTGACTTGGGAAACATACTCCTTGCTTGTATGAATGCACTTGCACACTCACGTTGAATGACTTTGTGCGATTTGTTGAACTTTAAAAATGGAATAAAGGTATGTCAATTATAGTATTTATATACAGAATTTATTAAATATCTTTAAAAAATGTGAGTCTTGTTCTATAAACCTGTGGATGATTATTTTACTTCAGTGACAGATTGATTTTAGTGATCTATTATAAAAATAGCAATTGCAGGATGAAAACTTATGAAAAGTTATGGGGAAAAAGGCATCATTTCCCCACATAATAAGTAGAAGATGTTAATAAAATGTGTACGTTTCTTGCTAGTCTTACACCTTTCATTTTTCAGTGTGGCACTTACAGATGTGTTACACAAGTGTAGTTTCCGGAATCCTCTCTAGAAGTTGGCAGAAACCAAAGAAATCGTTCTAAGGAAAATATTCGTGATCCCTCCTCTTCTGCAGGAATTATTTTGTTAGTATCCATGTGATACCAGGTGACTTTCACAGATGAACTCCGTTTGGGACATTTTATAACTAAAGCCTCACCTTCCATTGGATCAACTGTAAATGAATAAAAGATTAAAATTTTAGATGAATTAAACCTTTGCCCCACTGAGACAGAGGAGAACTTGACATTCCTGAATCAGCAGGCCAGTCATGTCCCTCTGCCTTCCTTGGGCTTTCAGAGATGACACATTGAAAGCTTATTCTCACCAGATTTTTTTCTTTCCATTTTGTTTATCTTGAATTATGGAGCCATTTTTTTCCAAAAATAGTAATTCATCTATGAGACTGAAACAAACAAACAAATCTCTAGATTCTAAGCAGACACATGCTAAAAAATATGAGGATTTAACTGAAAAAATAGTGATTTCTTACAATGAACTTCTTATGTAAATCTTAGCCTGAAATACTGTTTTTATTCAAAAGAGGAATTAAAACACAAAGAAAAATACTGGTTTTAATGCTGCACTATGAAGTTAGCTTTCCTTACCTCAGTTCATGAATAATTATTTATACAATACATAAGTGGTTTTGTTCTGGCTTTTTAAGGCAGAAAAAGGAAATTGATTTTTTTTTCATGGAAGAAAAGAATCATAGATAGAGGAAGCCTATAGATTAGATCCTTAGGAAAAAAAAACCCAACCAAACAAAAAACACAAAAGTAGAGCTTCTCTCTGAAGTTCATGAAAATGTGGGGGGGGAAAATGAAAGAAATATAACAGACTGAAAGGAAGAATTTGATGAGAAGGTGGGATAGTGAAAAGCTGCTAGAAATATATGAGATAAATAAGAAGTTTAGGACAATAAACCACACATGCTCACACAAAAGAAAAAAGAGGAACAAGTTGGGAGTAAAACACTACATTCTTTAATAATTTTTTTTACTGCATATACTTCTATTTTTTAGTACTGAAACTGATCCAGAGGAACTTGAATCAAGCAATTTTGACAAACATTTGAGTGCTCAGGCACCTGAACAGTGAAACGCCTACTGAAAAAAGAAATACTAATCTGAAAGTTATATTGCATGTTGAGAAGAGAAAGATGAGGAAATGAGCATGGATAGTGATGGGATAAGGATGGAGCTTGGCAGAGGAACTGCAGTAGATAAGGGAACATGAAAATGAGAGTAAACAACCAAATAGGTAACCAAAATAGAGAGTATCTATCAAAATTGACACTTCGTGAGAGTATTGCCACCACTTGGCTTTAGACACATAGATGCACAAATCAGATGGTGAGCCTCTCTACATGGTGAATTCTTCTGCTTTGGTTCTTTCTAAAGAAGCAGTCCATCTCCACTGATATTAGGTATCGTCTTGCTTACTAATTCAGGCACCTAAATTAGCCACATCAGGTATGAATACCCCCAACCTCATCATTTTAACAGCATTCCCACCCATCAGCCTTGCAAAGACAGTGGGACATATCAGGGGTGTCAGAAAAGGCAACATTGTCCCACCAAAAGTGAAACACATTGGAAATACAGCTTTCTCTGGGGAAAATTAGTAGGGAGAGGGAAGACATGGAAAAAGAGAGGCCTCATCTAAAATCAATTACTTCAGTGAAAATTATTTTGCTAAATTCTTCAGCAGGATTTGGCATCTTAATAAATCTGATTTGTTTGAATCTTAGCATTTATATTGTAAAATTGACAATATGGGGAAATATTTAGAGATTATATCATACAAAATTTTTCAGATAAATAAGCATCTCAGCTAGAGAATGGAAGTACATGAGTGCTGGGTAACACTATGTCACTGGACAGCAATATACAGCTGAGTCAGAAGAGCTGACCCACCAGAAAGAGCTTACCCTTCTGAACATCCCTCATATGCAGAGAAATGTTGTTGTTAAATTGCATTTTTCAGTTAATACCCCCAAATCTGGGACATTAAAGAGCATTTTTACTGAGCAGAGCACCCATTTACACCCCTGATTCAGCAGGGTGCATATGCATAGGTACTGTTCAGGGCAATCTAAGCATGCTCTTGGAGACATTGCCTGGCTGGGACCTTGAGCAACAGCTATTCTCAAGTTCTTTCAAAAAGACCCTTTTCTTTCATTTTGCAGAGATGTCAAGTGGCAGAGTAGAACCTAGACTTGATGTTGTAGAAACGGACAGTACTTGCTGTTTTTTAGTATACGGAGAAAACACACCAAGTTTTTAAGTCATGATTTGCAGCTTGAGATAAACTCAGTAATTTTAGGTTTAAAACTAAAACTACCAGTTTGGAAACAGCCTACACATTTCTACAGAACAAACTTCATCAGAAAGCATTTTTAAAATGTGACTTACATGGTTCAGTTGTCATGGAAACCGAGAGGAAGGTAGATAGGAAGATCAAATCTGCATACCCCGTCATATTTCTAAACCAAAAAGAAAAACATTGGTATCTTAGAATATACTCTGACTGCATCAAAAATACTGTACTGATGTACATCGACTAACAGAAAATGGTATCATGCAGTGATAAACTGCATCATGTGAGCTGCTCTGTACAGGGTATCTGTGTGTGTGGTTTTGAAACTTTGAGGAGATGTTCGTTGTTCTGTTATCAGTGCAATAGCTGATGTTCCATTGGAACTACTGTTACGACTTACTTTAGGGGTTGGGAAATTACTCTGCCATGGTAGGCCTCAGGCAGAAGCCTCTTTTCACTTGGTTGCTTCTTTCTTTTTAAGGAAGCTAAATGTACAGTGGCATTCTCTTCATAGTCAAGTGCAGAAAAATTATACCTCAACTTAGAAAAGAACATGTCCTGGGTTAGAAGATATATACCCTGGCTTTGAAGGAAGGTTACATCCAATCAACTACTTAGGTGCACAACACTTTTTTGGCTTTCTAAGGAAATGGAGGAGTTTTCAGTGACAGCTCCTCTAGGTAAGTGTTTAGCAGGAAGAACAAAACCAGGTGAGTGCCATCAAAAATGCTAACTTGAAAGGGAACTGAAAAAATGGACTGGAAAGGTAGGTAAAGGAACATATATTATACTTATGTAACAGCAGCAGGGCAAATCCCATCCTTCACTGATGTTTTCATTTGTGTCTGACTGATATGGACCTTCTTGTAATTCCCATCTCATGATGTGGCTCAGGAACTCCACAGTAAACCACTTTATTAGAAAAACTGATCATTTGATCATGGACATTAGGTTGATCTAATCCAGGAATACCTCAGGAGACAGTAGGCATGTAATCCAGCTATACTATGTAGCTGTAAGCATTCTACTTACCATTAATAAACCCTTCCCTTGAATGCTGTCCTTCACTGCAGATCACAGAGTGGTGGATTCTATTATCATGTATGAGTAGGAAGCACTCCCACGGTACTACAGATAATTGGCAAGCTTTCAGGAGAAATCAAGTTAGAAATTAATTATAATTAATCTTGCAGAGAGTGAGCAGAAGTAGTGAAAAACAGGCAAGAAATGTAAGTACTATCATCACACTTATGGCAAGAAAATTTTATTTCAATGCCAAAGATTTCCAAACTAAATAAACATTGACAGACCTTATCAAGGCCTACATTTTTGCCAAGTCTGAAATTCACAACAGATTCAATTTTGAGCTTTCACAAATGTCACCAGCTTTTTATTGATTTGGAAAGTTTCTTCTTTTAGAAGGTTTAATAACATCCATAGGGCTATTCTAAAACTGTGAAAAATAATAACAAAACTTAGTATTGGAAGAGAAAAGTGTGAGAATTTCAATGTAGGTATTGTGCAGGGATATTCACAAATCACAGGAAAGATGAGGTTTAGACCAAAAAAAGCAAGAGTCTCAGCATTAATGTCACAGCAGGGCTGATGCCATGTCTTTTACAGAAAGCGAGTGAACAGCCAATGTGTGTGAGGAGTGCTATTTGCTTTCATTAGAGCAGGACAAAAGCACCACGTGCAAGTGTAAGTCTATTGACTTCATTAATTCTAAGGAAACTTTAGGCCAGGTGAATAGATTTTTAGAGGATACTTTTGAATATAACAAACATCAGGACTTTTGCCCTGGAAGAACTTAACAAGCTGGCCCAGAACAGGGTTCATGAGTGACCTGGATCAGGACAAACCCTCAGGAGAGGGTCACAAAACAGCACAAAACAAAACTCAGAGCATTATTTCTAACACTACCATGGACCAAAAATACCCTGACTATTCCTTCTCTGCTGAGAGCCTTTTCCCAGCAAGTGTTTGGTTCTGTTCCAGGAACTTATTTGCCCCCAACAAGGTATACCAGCAGTTATGCTAACTGCCCTACTATTTTTTAGAGCTATTTTGTTTAAGCAACTGATACCTCAGCAAGATGACAAAAAGTAAAACAATTGACTTTTAAAGGAAAATCAGTTTCATAGACTAAGTTTGGAGACTGTCTGAAATTAGGTCCTTTCTCATTTGATATTTTATTTGTATGTGTCTATTATGCATTTGGCCACAAGTAATACCATTAGCAGAGATATTGGAGAGTCCCTTATTGCCAGTGCTATTGCAGCCCTAGAAATGGAAGGCTGGTGATAAGGAGAAACTTATGAGGAGCTGTGCTTTCTCTGTTTTTGAGATACAGCTTTGTCCAGGAAGGGAGCCAATTACTTGCTCTCAAAAACTTTTCTAACAAGTACCAGAATGATTCAGGAGTAAGAAATTTATAATTTCTTGTCTCCATACTTGCTACCAGCCTGCACCAAAAGAGTGTAAAATATTTGAGCTGGGATTCTCCCCAATTTGCTGATTTCTTTATTGATTTTCCCTCCATTTTTAAGCTACCTTGTACTGGCAGCAGTTTAAGTTGAGTTTAGGGTTTATGTGTATGAATACAGACAATATATGAGGCTCTAATTAAAGAGGAATGTTCCCTGAAAACACAAAGAGATCAGGCAATTAAAAGAACAATGTGATTCTGTTTGCATTTTCCAAAGTCAGCAGCAAACATCAAATTACCTCAATACGAACTGAAGCAGAGTTTACAGTTCTAGACAGAAAATATCAAGAGATGAACTGATTCTATAGTGCCTTACAGTTTGTGGCATTACTCTGCACAAAGCAAAATTAAGGCATCCATATGTCCATGATCCTTAGGTCAAATGAAAAGAGTATTCTGAGGCACAAAACAAAGGCAGTAAGACACCTGATATGGTTTGAAGCTGGCTCCCTGCCAAGTCTCCAAACCCTACCACAAGAGTTCCCCCCCACCCAAAACCTCAGGGAGAAGAGGGAGAAAAACAACCAAGAAAAACCGGAAACGAGAGAGAGACAGCTAAAGTGATATATATAAATATATTTACACCTATGTTACACTTATATACAATTAAAATATATACAATTTCCCAAGGGAAAGGGAAGGGGGAAGGGAAAAGGAACAAAACCAAAATAAAATATATATATATATCCCGATTAGTGACCCGAGATCTAGTAACTAAAAGAGTTAGCAAGGAAATATCTCACACTTTCCTTGGGACAATGGAGAGTTGCTCCGGAACGATCGCCGGCAACCTCCACCTCCCAAGGTCGACAAGGCCTAACCAGGTCTCACTCCCCAACACAGCAGACCCAACAGCAGGGAACCTGTACCTCCAAGCTGCCGGAAGGAAAGAGAATGAAGGCCTCTCTTCCTTTTTTCTTATAGTCTGGCTTACGTAAAAATCGTAGGGAATACTGGGTAAATCTGGACCCTTCCTTGGTTACAAACTGGTCACCTAGGAAGCCCTAGCCCAAACCACCACACACCTCATGTCCCATAGTCAAAAGAAGTTTCCATGGCTTGAAGCACTGAGAAACAAAGGCCATAATTTCTGGAAATAATTATGCACTTTCTGCTTTCGTAGTTTAATTTAGAACGTTTGTTTTATTACATTTGTCTAATGTGAAACTCACATAACATATTTTTGGGTCCTCAGTATACCATAAATTTAGATTGCTAATATTAAGAGGGAAAAAAGATACAGAGACATTTTCCATAAATCTCTTTCTTCCTATAGCTCAGAATAAAAATTTCAGTGTGATGCTGAAAAAGCACTAGATCCAAAACTTGGGATAACTACCTGAGTATGTCAAAATCTGGCTTCTAATGATTCAATATCAAAGGAAGGTGAAAGAACTGGGATCCTGCTATGTACGTTGCAGAAGCAGTACTCTATAGGGCTTAACCCGTTGTTTCTCCAAAGGCAGCTGTCTTAGTAATATATTTCTGATTTTCTTTCCAAAATTGTATTTGGCAACAAAGTGTTTATAGTACTGTTTATAAAAGTGACAAACATTATAAAGGCACCATACTTTGCATGCTAACAAAACTTGGAAACGTTATTGCAATTTCTACTTTAAAAAGCTTAACAGATTTTACAATGTAAACATACCATGAAAGAGAAGTTGTGTGAGATTTGTTTACTAAGATATAAAACCCACATACCTTTTGAAAGTGATTTTCATTCTTTTAACAAACCAGAAAATCCATTCTGACTGAAAATGGGCTGTTAAAATAGCAACAGTAAAACTGTACTTATTCCAGAACTAACATTCACAAGAGTTAAGAACTACACTAGTTACAGTGTAAAATTTAGGAATTTCAATATCAAAATATGGAAATGTTAGAATTGATATACACAGCATTCTTAAAACTATTTTGAAGAAAGTACATAAATATATTAAACTCTGATAAGTCAATTGCTCAGTAAAGATTTTCTGTGTCTCTCACTTATTAGTAAAACTGTATGCCAGAAAACTGAGGCCAAATCCATTCCTAAATACACTTCACTATAAAATAAATCTTTATTTTGGTCCCAACATTGTCTATCATGGAAGCATATCCACTATTCTAATATAGTATTATTTTTTGAGATAAAGAAGCACATAAGTGAACTGAATAAAAACTTTTTTGTCAAATCCTACAATTATTTTTGGTTAAATGATAATATAAAATTTTGACCTACCATCTGGAAAATTCAGAAAGCAGAGAAGTGGCTTGTTCTCTGTGGCTGGGTCTTTTGCACTGATTTCTCTGCTTAGCTTGTACCAGACGTTACTGGAAACTCTTTATCTGGCTTGTGCAGTTCATATCTGCATAGCAAAATACACTGCTTAATCCTGAGACACCTCCCACTGAAGAGAGCAGAACATGCAAATGACTGTAGTAATTACCTTAAATATCTATCAGAGGTGGCATCTCATAGTTCAAATCAATCAGATATCTTTTACCACTAGCATAGTTTTTCCGTTAATTGCAAATTATTCCATTTTAGTACCATTATATTGCAATAAATGTACTGGCTGGGGAGGACAAAGAAGGGACACTCAGATGACAAAGACTGCTTTGAAACATTCTGCTTGAAAACAAGTGACAGTTTTGCCTGGTCTAGTCAGGTGAAAGCTTCTTGAGAACGGCTCTAAAAGTCCCTGGTGAATCAGGAATAGTTTTTAGTGAAGGAAACTGCTTCACTGAAGCTAAACTGAACAAAGAAGGTGCTGAGAAACGAGTTTTCTGCATCATCAGCTAAATTAAGTCTCTGAGGGAAAGATTTTATTCTGTGGTTATTCAAACTCTTATTTTTTTTCTCCCCTGGCAGAGTTATGAATACCATTTGTCCCTTCTAGTGTTCCTGGGACTCTACTGTCAGCATGCAGCAACTCCACATCAATATACAAAGATGTACCAATCCTACTCCAGTATGCAAAAATCTTATTGATGTCACACCCTTGCTCTCCCCAGTTCTTGGTACAGCGCTTCCTTTGAAGTGGTCTGGGGGTTGCGTTTCTCATATGACCCAGAAGATGCAAAAGAGCTAAAAAAAACCCACCTGCAACAATGACATCTCACAATGCTTTGGTCAACCAGTCAGGGTCAGATCAGACCCCTATCTTAAAAAGTTCACAAACTACTCCTTGCTCGGGTTTGTGAAGTTTCATCAACATCAAGGTCTTCCTCATTTCCTGATGTGAGAGACTTGGAAAAAAGTCTGGCGTAACCATCTGCATTCAGTGGTAGGTTCAACATCCTCTAAACACACCATGTTAGGTTACTCTGGGGAAAGGTTGAATATATTCAGGTAAAGCTAACTTCCATTGCCTGGACACAGAATAGGTTATTCTATCGTAAAGTCCACTGAAACTTAGATCAGAGAGTCTTATAGTGTTGCTGCATAGCTCAGAAGAGCCCTTCAGAAGAGCCCTTCATCCTGTAGTTTGCTACCCATGCCCAGGTTGTTCCCAGATCATGGTGCAGGCAGGAATTGAGCTCCTGGCTAGAGAGGATAGTTGCCAGCTGAGCAAAAGCCATTCTGCAGCTTTCATAAGAAACTACAATCAATGTTGAATGCCTTGTAACTTTTGGCCCATCTTTTAAAAAAATTCTACTGATAAGTATATGGAAAAGCGTGCTTACAGAAACACCTCAAGAGATTTCTTTGAGGAGTGAGATGCATCATGCTCCATTGGCAGCCAGTATGCATAGCACTTCAGCAAGCAAGGGAATCATCTGTTCTTAAAGCAAAGAGGTCAAGAAGTAATGGATTTAAACTGAAGCGGGGAATAGTTAGGCAAGACAGCAGGAAAAATCTGTTGACAGGAAAGGTAGTGAAGCACTGGAAGACTTTCCTGGGAACCTAGTGGAGCTGCCACTTGGTATTAGAGAAAAATTTAGTATTGGTATCACAATGCTGTAGCTGACCCCACAAGTCCTTACCAGCACTAGGAGTCAATGGCCCAGAGATTCAGCTGTCCATGGTTCAATGACTGTTTTTGGTGCAGCATGACTATGAATTTAACTCAGTTGTGTTGGCAAAATTATTTCTAGGCCGTGAAAAGCATGCACACTAAAGCATGCGAAATACCAAAACTGAAAACCCAAATCCAAAGAAGTTACTGACATCTTAATACTTAGGCATTCAAGCATGACAGAGGAAAAATAGTAACACAGAAAAAGTCCTCAGATAAAAAGCAGAGATAGAGAAACAGCAATTCAGCAACTTCAGGGTTCACTCTGCTTCTAGAAGCAGTGTTTAGTCTAACAGCATGGTAGTCCTACTTGTCTAATATCTAACTCTACTAGGCAGGAAATACTTGGTGTGTAAAATTTTTGCTCCCTGCTTGCAGACCATCAGTACACACAGCAGGGAACATCTGGACACAGGTGGCCCTGTCAGGAAAGGTTTTGCTTTCTACTTTCATTGAGGCCAACCCAGGGAGCACTGGCAGCAAATGGTGGGACAGCAGGGGAAGATGTTGGGTGTGTTCCCACCTGTTACATCTAATGTTTTTTTTAGCTGGTGGGGATCCACCCTACTGAGGTTGCAGTGTCCTTCCTATTCCTCTGTGTCATGGTGCCTTTCTTGAGGCTAACAAAGGCGTCTTGTGCTTTGTGTAAAAGAGAAATCAGAAAGATTTTTCAAGGTTTTTAATACTGTAATGGGGATGGACTTCTCCCAAGGTAAGAGTTGCGTCTGGTCTTTATTGTTGATCGTGCAGTCCTATTACCACTCACATTGTGATAAGAAGAATGGGCTGGTCCCCAAATAGCTCTGCTGGTTCCTTTCGTTGAGAAGTTTGAGACAGTCATCCCAAGAAGACACTGTTGGAGGGATATATGCCTAACCAGAGTGTATTGGGTTTATGTGGCAAAACTTGGGAGGGTACAGAGGTGACTTCTGTGAGAAGAAACCAGGAGCTGCTCCCATGTTGAATAGAGCCAGTCCCAGACAGTTCCAAAACAGACTTACCGCTGGCCAAAGCTGAGCCCATCAGCAACACTGGTAGCACAGGGTAAAAAGTGCTGCACAGCAACTGTGAGAGAAGACTGAGACAACCCTGCAGAGACCAAGGTCAGTGAAGAAGCAGGGGGAGAAGGTGCTTCAGGCATTGGAGCAGAAATTCCCCTGCAGCCCATGAAGAAAATCGTGATGACAGAGTCTGCCCTCCTGCAGCCCATGGAGGACAACAGTGGAGCAGGTGGAGGTGCTCTGAAGGAAGCCATAGTCTATGGAGATCCATGCTTAGAGCAGGCTCCTGGCTGGAACTGAGGCCACTGAAAGGAGCCCATGCAGGAGTAGGTGTTCTGCAAGGTCCTGTGGCCCGTGGTGGAACCACACAGGATCAGTCTGTTCCTGAAGGCTGCAGTCCATAAAAGTATCCACACTGGAGCTGTTTGTGAAGAACTGTAGCCCATGGGAAGAGCCCACATTGAAGAAGTTTGTGAAGGACTGTCTCCTGAGAGAGGGACCCCCCCATTGCAGCGGATGAAGAGTGTGAGGAAGAAGAAGCAGCAGAAACAAAATGTTATGAACTGACTGAAACCTCCATTCCCCATCTCCCTGTGCCACCTGGGAGAAGGAGGTAGAAAAGTTGGCAATGAGCCTGGGAAGAAGGGAGGGGTAGGGAGAAGGTGGGATTAGTTTTGGTTTATTTCTTACTATCCTACTCTGTTATTAACTGGCAATAAATTAATTTCCCCAAGTTGAGTCTGATTTGCTCTTGACACTAATTAGTAAGTGATCCCTCTGTCCTTATCTCAACCCATGGACTTTAATAGTATTTCCTCCTCCTGTCCTGTTGAGGGAGAGGGTTAATAGAGCAGCTCGATGGGGCCTTGGTAGTCAGTCAAGGTCAACTGGCATGGCAAGCTCTCAGACAACAGTGAGGACATGCATGTGGACGGGAAAGGATTAATAAGTTTTAAAGTATTAGAAAGCCATCAGTATTTTTACCATACTCATCTCTCTCCTTCATTCCACCAAACCAGAGATATCAAATCTCTTATAAGGTTTTCAAATCCACTGTAGTTGCCAGATAGTGTATTAAAGTTCAGAGGATGCAAAATGGAGGTGACACCATCTTGAAGGAAGCAATTGGCTAAAATAACAAGAATTATATCTGTTCTTTTTTATGTGGATGGGATGTATTTCCTTTGGGTTGCACATTCATACATTACTTGGTATGTTATTTGATCACTAGCAGTTTAGAAAAGATCTTAACAGTGATAGTTATGCTTGTCAGGGCAAGGACAATATTAAAACAAAAAAAATAACATCGTTAACAAAGCCCATGTGTCTTAAAACCAATTTCCCTTCATAAAGAAGTTTTCAATTTCTCTGCTCCATGCCTTGCCCCAAAAGGAAAGTAGCTGCACCGCCATCCCACAGAGTCTGGATACAGCCAGCCAGAATGAAAATAATAGCAGCTGTTCTGAATGTCTGAATGTCACCAGGCCACCAGCAGGATCCCCGAGGGGAGACCACAAAGCCCACCAGGGAGAGAATTTGTGCAGCAGATCTGTTGCTCTTATGGAAATTAAAATACTTCACTGAGTCTTCAGGATCTTCCATTCCCACAGATGGTCCTGTCCTTGGATGCCAGAATACTTTAAAATACAGAGGTGAGAGTGAGTCTGAGCAGGCAATTATCTTTGGGCAAGAAACCTGTCCAAGGTTTTTCCACAAAAGAAATACCAAACAAACCAGCCCTCCTGTGCCTAAATAACTTCACAACACAGACAAG